TTTTTTTTTCCCTAATTTTAGCAAATGAGTTACGAGAAAATAGTAGCCTTGACGAACTGCTCGTTGATTTGGCTCATGCCCGTGTGTGGCTCGACTCGACTTGACTCCTAGACGAATTATAGGCGAGCGAATTCAAAAAATTCCGCGTGAACTCACACGGTTGGCTTGCGAGCTAGGCAAACTATTGGTAGGCCTTTTTAGGCCCGTCTAGCCTGTTAAATGGGCGGCTTTTGCTGCCTACAGTATAGGCCGCAAATGCAGTCCTAATGGCTGATGATTTGATCAATCTTGAATTGAATATTATTATTTATTATTTTTCAAACGTTAATTTATCTGAATTTCCTCGATCACTTTGAAATGGTCGTTTTCATCTAAAACTAAACATGCTCTTTCATGTGATTTCAATAAAAACTTAGCCAACTAAGTCTGTTTTACTTGGGAGGAAAACTTAAACGTAAGGCAATGTAGGTCCGAATTAGTAAATTTCTACAATCAAACTTCAATCATTTCACTTCTTTTGAAAAAAGAAAGAGTAATCACCACTGGTATTAAATACCCATTTAGGTGCCAATTACATTATATTAAATGAAAAAATTAGTTAATTAAACCTATAAAATATAGTCACCTAGACGGGTGCTAAATAACATAATTCAAAAAGAAATTGTCCATAAAATACTTAATTCGTGTATACAATTTTAACTCAACTATGCATCCATGCAACCGATCTTGGGTCTGTAAAAAGGAGGATGGATTTTTACAGACTTATACAGCAGACCATTGCCATCACTCTTGACACCAAGCATGATCTCAAAAACAAGTCAACTATCCCATAAAAGAGGAAAAAAATGGTATTAGGGAAAAAATATTTATATTTTCGTTTCTATAACTTGGGCACTATACATAAGAAGTAGTAGTAGCTAATGCAGGAAACAAGAAAACTGCACAAGTGGCCAAGTGCTGCTAAGCTCAACCCTTCTACATATTTGCCTACATATTTGCCTCCTGCAACACTGTATGTTAACTTGTTGACAAAATCTAATCCCTCTAATGTATAAAAATTATGTTTATATGCAGCTATAAACATTTACTCTACATCAGTATACGTTCGAGTTTCGGAAGACATGAGAAAGCTGCAGCTTCATTAAGCTTCGACCGTAGAACCAGTTTGAGGACTCACAAGAGACGGCAAGTCTCTGATTCTGTATCCGCTGCCCCAGAACGAAGCCAGACAAAGGCCCATTATAGCCATGGCAACCACCGAGCAAGCAGGGGGAACAGCTTGTGTGCTTCCGAGGAATTGTGAAGCGAGGAGCCCTGCAAGTGTCGAACTTTGCATTCCTGTGCATAATGAGATTGTCCTGCAGACTTCTTCCTCTAACCTGTCACAACACATAAGATTGACTATTAAAGGCGATTTCAATAGAGGGCTATGCTATGTGATGTACCCTTCGAACAATTTCAATTTCAGCAGACTGAAAATGTACCAGGTTTGACAAGGAAAATGTACAGAAAATATTGACATATTGCTATAATCTTGCACCAATAAAGAGCGAACGAAAAGGGAGAATGAAAGAAATATGACAGAGGACAAGAGACTGCATAAATTATTCTCTTCATATCTAAAGAAGTTGATAGAAAAATAAATCAAATCAGACAGAAGGTTGCTTGAAGGAATAACTTACCTCAAAGGCGGAATTTTGGAGATCCAGTAACCCAAGGCAAATGCCATTGCATGAAATGACAATACAGGGCCGACCAATCTCATTCCCTCCGCTGAAAGAATTTGGCTCCTATTTATAGCAAGTGGGCTTCCAATACACAATGAAGTACAAATCATTGCAACAAAAGGCATTAGAGGTTGTAGAACAGATACAACTGGTTTAGCATAAGTATTTAGCACCAACCCAAGAGTGACCGGAGCAAGAACCACCTGGAGAAAGCAGAAAATCCATTAGCAAAAAAGCTAAGGAAACGAATGGTCGAGTCCCATCCAACATGGGTATGCATAAATAAATAAGCTGCCACTGTTTACTTTTTAAGTTAAGCATTAGAAATGGCATATAAATCACCAAAAGTAAAAGGTTTTGGACAGAAATTCCTAGAGTTAATACTGATTTTCATATCCCCAAGCAGAGAATGTGAATGTGAAAAAAGATCACAATTTTATTCTCACATTTGTGATGAAGTAGAAAGAGACAATTGCATTTATGTTCTTGTGAAGTTTTGGTACCTGCAAAATTGATTTTGACATAGCAATCGCATCAATTGGAACCACAGAACCTATGAGAAGGCCGGTTAAAAGAGGAGTAACAAGAACAGATGCAATAGTAGTCGAGCTGGTCAATAGAATGCTTAAGGCCACATCGCCTTTGCTCAAGAAGCTGGCATAACTTGATAGTTGTGCTCCGGCAACACATGACATAAGAACAAAACCGGCATAGAACATTGGAGATATCCCAAATCCCGTTGCTACCAACACCCCCAGAGCCGGTTTCAGAACATATTGTGCAGCAAAGCCAACAGATAAAGGCATAGGTCTGCAAAAAACACAAATTTATTAACTTCAGAAGCCTTCAACAAACCACCAACGTAATTTCAAAGAATAAACAGTAAAAATTTGTAACCTTTTAAATGCAAGAGTAAAATCATCTATGGAGAGTCTAATTCCAATAGACAACATAATTCCTCCAAGTGCAGGAGCATACAATTCCTTTGACACCCTGCAGGTTCATCTATCATTTACAACACCAATAACATACTTTAAAAGAAAATTCAAGCAAGAAGTTACATGTGCGTGTGTAAGACAACATACATATGTACCAAAAAACAATATTATTAAATAATTTTTTCAAAGCAAGCACTTTTCACTGTCAGGGACCAAGAATCTTTTAAACTTACATATCTTATTCTACAAAATAGAAATTTGAAACTCCCATTACCCCAAAAGCTACACACAGAACCTTAAATGGAATAGATAGCTACACAAAATAGAATAAAATTCAAAAACTCTAAAGTAAAATCCAATTAATACTACTACTCCAACTCACCAAGTGAAAGTAGAAGGCTGATAAAGAGCGGCAACTGCAGTTAGAGCCACCACAAACGGAAGCATTGCTGATAAAACTTGTGAAGCACCAGCCTTCGCCTCAGTTTCCAACACACCTTTAGGATCCACCCCAAACGATAGCAACGAGAAGTTGCCTTCTCTTTTTTGCAACCCAACTTTCCCTATAAAAGCTGATGAAGTTGAACATGCTAGAATAGTATTAGCTTTCCGAGGAAGCTTTCTTCCAATTGGAGAAAAAGAATGATTCCTTAAAGGAAGGGAAAAGGAATTCCTCCGATTGGAATTGAAGTTGATAATAGAGGTTTTGAGAGTATTTGGGGCCGAAAAGATAAAAATTGATGACATGCTTGAGGTGGGTTTTTGTGGGTTTGAGTTCTGAAGTTCGCCCGCCGGTAAAAGGTAGCGTTTTCCCGGCGAGGAAAGTGGCGGTGGTGGTGAAGTGGGGGAGGGGATAAGATGATAAAATGATTTTTTAATGATGTTTAAGTGTTTATGAAATATTGAATATTGAGTAAGGAGTTTATTAGGTGTAGAACTGGTGTACAATTGTTCAGTGTGTTAAGGAAAGTTGCGCAGAATTGGACGGTCAGAATCGCAGATATACGAGGCTTTTTGCAAAATTCGTGGTCGCGTCCTTTAATTTCTTTCTATTTGCGGTTTTAGGTATAACCGATACGAGCTCGTCATATTCAACTTGACCTAGGTGTCATATTAGACTTGACCTAGGTTTAAGTTAGAATGTTAAGTGAAGGTAAATCGCCCATATATTTGATTTACCCGATGAACAATTCACGATCAAATTTAGGCACAAATCGAACAGCAAAATTCTTAATCGGGCCGCTCATCAAATTGCGAGCTAGCCTCTATCAGACGAGTCGAGCCCACATTTGATGAAGCGAGCTGAATAGTACAACCTGACTCATTTAACATATCTTATTTTAGACTCAACTAGTGACATTTCACGTGTCATGTACATGATCCATATTTGACCTTATATTTTTTTTTTATGACCATAGGCGTTCGGGCTAGCTTATGCGCACATCGACTAATTTCACGGGACTTTAAAATTTACAGTTTGATACTCATCTCAGTAATCCTAAGAAGACTAGAACTAGTGATTATTGAGGAACAAATTCAAGGTCTGACCGCTGAACTACCTTTCAAGGTTATTTGACCTCATATTTTTGAACAGGCATGCAACTAAAATACTAGGACTTGACTCAATTTACAAATCTAAGCAAGAGAAACTAAAGTAAAAAAATTTATTGACATTTGTTAACAAATAGAAATGAATTTTTTTTTTTAATTTACCCCTGAATATTTTTATTATTCAGCAAATTTCATAATCAAGCAACTATCTTTTTCTATATCATTTTCTGATCCTCAAGGTCTCTGATAGCAAAAAATAAGAGAACTGTTTGCTCAGTTTTCATTTAAAAGAAAACACAAAGCAAACAAATGTATAGAAACATGATAAAATGGAAAAATATTGCAATCCTTACATTATTTACTTAGTGATTGTTTGACAAAGTTTTTGATAAAAATTTTAACAAATTTTGAGACATTCGAGTGTAAAATTTTATTCTTTATCAAATCAAGAGTAGTCTTATCTTAATTTCTATGCAATATGCTATTTGATGATGCACAACATTACCACAACACGACCACAAACTCGAGTTCTTACTATTCTTAATTACTTAGTTCTATCCTAATCAAGCAATATCTCATTAAACGGAATCAACTATGTTTGGTAATGATTTAATAGAGTTCTTAGGTCATCTCCAGCGCTACCAAATTAAAATTCATCTTCCACCAGTACACCAAAATTTGCACTATTTTGCTCCAATTTTGTACCAAACTAAAATTCATCTTCCACCATTACACCAAATGAACTGTATTTAACCATTTTTTTCTCTTTTTTTATTCTTAATAATTTATTTATTTGAAATATTATTATTTAATTATTTTATAAATATATAAATTACTAAATAAATAATTACGTTAAATTAAAGAAAAAAATTAAATTCATTGATAAATATAAAAATTCATTATTTATTTAATTATTTTAATATATTTTATGTTAACTTTAAGAAATAATCATATTTTTAAATTTTAAATATTTTTCTTCTTTTATTTAATTCATTAATTATTATTATTTACATTTAAATAGCATATTAATGGTGCAAAGTATAGTGTTGCATTAGAATTGTTTTGCACCAAAAAATGGTGCAATTTGGTTATTTGGTGTTGGCATTGACCAAATAATCAAATTGCAACATTTTTTGGTGCAAAATTGCTCCAATACAACACTAAATTTTGTACCATTTTGGTATGAGTTAATAACACAAAACGTCCCTACGTTTGATACTTATTGCGGAAAACGTTCCTACATTTCATTTTATTTTATTTTCGTCCTTATTTCAACGTTTCATTGCCAAAAACGTCATTTTCACCATTTTTAATGTAAAATAACCAAAATACCCTCATATTTAAATAAAATCAAAAAAAGAAAAGAAAAATAAACAATAAATTACAATCTTACTCCTAAATATTTTAAAAAGTGCAAGTGCGTTCAAATAATTATTAAAATACACAATAGCACAAAACGTCCCTACGTTTGGTCTGTAGTGTGCAAAACGTTTCTACATTTTAAATTGATGAAAATGACTTTTTTCGCAATGAAACGTGAAAATAAGGATGAAAATGTAAAAATGAAAATTGAAATGTATGAACATTCTCCGCAAGAAATGTCAAAGTTAGGGACATTTTCTGCAAGAAGTATCAAACGTAGGGATATTTTGTGCTATTAGGCCTTATTAAAATTGAAATCATTGCCAAACTGATGAGCTTCCATACCATTTCCAAAGTATCATCACCTAAACTCCGACGGTACCACCTATTCCGGAGAGATTCATGTCATTTCCAACACACCAATCGACTATACTCACCAGGGCGCTTCTCTTCATGGTCTCTTCTTCTCCAAATGGGACTGCCACCTTAAAAATGAAAAAACTCTAACCAACGATCGTCCGAACCGTCGAACCTCCATACCGCCGAACCATCTATTGATATTTTAAGACCATAAAGAGAAGCGTTCTGGTGAATATAGTCGATTGGTGTGTTGGAAATGACATGGATCTTTTCGGAACAGATGGTGCCACCGGAGTTTGGGTGATGGTATTTTGGAAATGGTATAGAGGTTCGGCGGTTTGGCAATGGTTTTAATTTTAATAAGGTCTAATAGCACAAAACATCCCGACGTTTGATACTTCTTGTGGAAAATATCCTTACGTTTGACATTTCTTGTGACAAACGTCCATACGTTTCATTTTTTTTGCATTTTCATCCCTATTTTCACGTTTCATTGCAAAAAAATGCCATTTTCATCAATTTGAAACGTAGGGATATTTTGCACACTACATGCCAAACGTAAAAACGTTTTGTGCTATTAGACATTTTAGTAATTATTTGGACTCACTTGTACTTTTTAAAATATTTAGGAGTAAGATTGCAATTTATTATTTATTTTTCTTTTTTTTTTGTTTTATTTAAATAGGAGGGTATTTTGGTCATTTTACATTCAAAAATGGTGAAAATGATTTTTTAGCAATGAAACGTTGAAACAAGAACGAAAATGCAACAGAAAAAAAAGAAACATAGGGACATTTTTCACAATAAGTGTCAAACGTAGGGACGTTTTGTGTTATTTACCCTTTTGGTACAATTGGTGCAAAGTGATGAAAATCTATTTTGTCATTTTCTTCTTCTTTTCCAAATAATTAATGAAGGGTAGTTGTGTCATTTGTGCTATATATTTTTTAATACAATAAATTATTATTATTTGCATTTTCATTTAAAATTAACACGAAATATATTAAATAACGACATACATACGATAATCTAATATTATTTAAACAAAACAATACATAAAATTCGAAATGTATTAATCGATCATTTGTGGGAAGAACATATGAATTTCGAGAATTAAATTGCCAAAATTTTGCAACTTCATAATATCGTAATATCCAAATTCGAAATACATTGTACTATTTTCTAATGGCATGATTTATGATTTTCGTTATTTTAGTGTTTTTATTAATTGTACTATGTTTTTTATATTTATTAATGAATTTAATTTTTTCTGTAATTTAACGTAATTATTTATTTAGTAATTTATCGGTTTATAAAATAATTAAATAAATAAATCATAAAGAATAAAAAATGGAAGAAAATGGTTAAACACTGTTCATTTGGTGTAATGGTTAAGGATGAATTTTAGTTTGGTGTAAGATTTTGTGTAAAATTTGGTGTAGCGCTGGAGATGGCCTTAGCAAACTAGTTTTAGGTGTGCAATCACCATATTCAGGACGAAGTCAGCACCCGACTAACCATGGCAACGCCCTATGCTGGCTCTACATATTATTATTATTATTATTATTATTATTATTATTATTATTATTATTATTATTATTATTATTATTATTATTACTACATCTCGCCTAGATTTGCCGCTAACCATATTTACCGTCTACATTATCATTTCATGCGTTTTTACTCATTTAAGTATCAAATAGACTCGGAGTTATCGCGCCTTTGTTTCAGGTCATCTTAAAATCCTACAAATCTGTCCCCATGCTAATCCTTGTTCTTCATAGACGGATAAAACAGGGAATGTGAAACACGACACAACACATGAGTGTGTGCAAATAATTTGACATTTATAAACAGAATCAATGAACTCTCATTTTTATGTCCACATGCACAATGAATTCAAGCTAAACAAAACTTGAGCAAATCTATCTCCTTGTCGCAGAACCTCATGCTTCAATATCGCTTATATCTTCTCTCTATGAACCTAATGGCTTCTTGACGTAGAACACGGTCGAACAAGAAATGATGCATATTCTGTAATAAACGGCAAACCGCGAGCTAACACTTAATGAATTAGAAATATAAAAGGTGCATTCAGAACCATAACTTATTACAGATATGTACGTACGAGGAAAGTCCATAACATATCGCGAAATCTACTAAGTTGTCCTTGCAATATTGTCTTGATTAGATTGATACTGGAGCTTCTCCGATGTAATCTGAAAGGTTGTGGCACAATGATGAAATGGTGTGAGTTGACCAGCTGACTTTTATTTATTGTTTTTTAAAGGTGTTAGCTGGTCCCTTAAAAATGCACTTTCAATTATCAAAACCGTGTTTCTTCTAATGGACGCTCATGATGATGCCATGTGTCAACCCCATGTTCATTGGATGACTGACCATTTGGTGACTCATATAAAAGAGAGTCCTAGGGTTAGAGACGCGTGATTTTTCCTTTCTTTGGCTTTCTAGATTCTTCATCTACTCCCTAGCCGTTTGGGTTCATCTTCTTCTTCTCTCTGAAAGTCAAAGTTCTTATTTGATTTTTCAACACTTTCTCATATCTCGTTTTGTAATCTTGAGTGATTCTTTCTGAGAAGTGTAATGTGGTCTTGTGTGAACCATTCTGAAGTGAGAAGATCGAATCTTCTATGATCTTGGGTGATTCTGGTTTGAGTGCGAAAAAA